AGTATGGCAGATGGCAGAATCAACAGTAATTCGCGTCACTTTGTAAACGTTGACCTCAAAAACACACTCCAACACTCGCCATCTGACTGTCTGTCTACATTATAATCAATCCGCATGATGCTAATTAATATAAGAATAGCATTACTTTTTTTCACAAACCCGAACATTTTTATAATATCCAAAAGTCTATCCTAATCCCACCTTACATTTATGTAGTTAATTTGAAATGGACTTCCATTCATAACACAATCTACCCTGGATATAATACCCTGAAAATTCGCCATCATTGTGGATTTTCCCGAAGGTAACGATGTCTGTTAATAAATTATTAATTTCATCTACGGTAAAGACGCGTTATTTAATGATGTTGTGTTCCTCCTAACTATTGAAGACTCTGTTTTTTACGGTAGGTATTCATGACGCATTTTCAAATCAAATTGCTCGCGCGCGACCACGTCCATAATTTCCAATATCTTTCCAGTATAGGTAAAATATTTTCAACAACGCCTATTTCAAATGAATAGTACCCGTAGTTAGGTACTAAAAATTATAACAATAAAGTACGTGGCAAGATTTTTATGCAACACAAAGTTCTTATTTCAATAAGAGATAAGTTCTATTTTAATTATATTTATACGAAATGTAAAAGTACCGCTGTCTGCTAGCCCTAGCTAGCACCAAAATAGGTATTACAGATTATATGAACTAGTAGTCGTTCTAATGTTTTTTGGTCAAATGACCCATCGTTGAAATAGCACATCGATGAAATAAATAGACCCTCGACGAAAAAGTGGCTTTCCATTAAATGAATGACTTTACATGATCAATCCTAGGCCTGTTTATACTATCTATTGCTTTATTGGGCCATTTTGAATAGCAACGCAACTCTTCTTCATTAAAGGCGACCAAATAAACAACGTGTCCCAAAATTCAACGACGCGGCGCGCCGTAGGATGGACATGGTCATCATAACTACTTTAGGAAAAATGAGAAAAAAATGTAAGCTTTTTTCTTATTTTTTCTAAAGTACTCATAGTCCAATAGAATTAGCTTTTAAATCGGAAATAATTCCTACAAAAGATTTTATTGTTTTAATGACTTCATTGGTTGCCCATTAAGACTCTCCTAAGTTTTCGACTTCGACGGAGTTGTGCTTAAGTGGTGGGGGCCCCCGAAAGGGGCGCTTTTTAAGTTTTCCGGTTATACCGCGTAAAGGACTTACCCTATCGAAAAGTGGTCTTCCTGACGGTTGAAGGGCATTTAATCCTGCATTAAATAAGACCAAATTCATATGTTTTGGACAAACCGTTCTCATGCAAATGTTCGGCAAAGTAGAAAATATGTGTATAATTAATGACCCTCTCCACGTCCAATAGCTCGTCACCCGTAGGCTCCCAAGCCTTGTAAAGGGTCGGCTTAACCAGCGTATCCCTGTCAAGGCTCACGAGTTGGATTCGCTTATCCTTGTTCGTCCCAGCCGTTCCTTAACTGCGGTTGCTGCACCTCTTCCTGGTACTCACCTGAACGACTCTGTGTTACCTACTGTGGCTGCCCCTCTTCCTTGTNAAAGTACCGCGCGCTGTCTGCTAGCCCTAGCTAGCACCAAAATAGGTATTACAGATTATATGAACTAGTAGTCGTTCTAATGTTTTTTGGTCAAATGACCCATCGTTGAAATAGCACATCGATTAAATAAATAGACCTTCGACGAAAAAGTGGCTTTCCATTAAATGAATGACTTTACATGATCAATCCTAGGCCTGTTTATACTATCTATTGCTTTATTGGGCCATTTTGAATAGCAACGCAACTCTTCTTCATTAAAGGCGACCAAATAAACAACGTGTCCCAAAATTCAACGACGCGGCGCGCCGTAGGATGGACATGGTCATCATAACTACTTTAGGAAAAATGAGAAAAAAATGTAAGCTTTTTTCTTATTTTTTCTAAAGTACTCAACCAACATGACCATCTCCACTCTAAGGCGCCGGCTTATCGTTGAATTTTGGGACACGTATACAGCGTCACGTGAAGGGTGTAAACGCGAGTATTTGGTGTTAGAGGACACTATTACTTCTCAATTAAACCCCCGAGTCACATTTTTTCTTTTTTTATCAATTTTCTCAGTGTTGTTTTTGTTGTTGATTTGCTTTTGCTGAAAATATCTATTCCACTCAATATTTTTAAATAGGTAAGTACCTACCTATCTAGCTTAGGCTCTGCCTAATTTACGTCAAAAATATTGAGGCCGATTTTATTTAAAAGTCAACTGTTTTTGAAAAAGAAATCTATTAGATTCAGTCAGAAGATTGAGATTGTTCTTATATCTTAATAATTCTATTACTTCACATGTCAAATCACTTTACTCAGATAGATAACATTGTATCTCATTTGATTATTTTGTAACTCNGTATAATATTAACGTAAAGTAGACTATATAAGGACTAAAACGACATTATGATACATATGAGTAAGGGTATTTTAAGATATTCATTTCGCATCACAAAGTTGGCAACTCCGCTAATTGGACGAAAACTAGCGCACTTACCCTACAACATTTTCTTGTGCTAACTAGCCTATCCACTTTTTCGTGTTTTACCACTCAACATAGCTAAGGAATAAGTTAATAGAATTATCCAAAAGTTACAGACATCTCCATAATTTTGTTATCAGTCAGAAAAACTGGTCACACTTTCATCAGTCCTATATTAAATTGAACCCGCCATAAAGTAGATTTAACAATATTTAATTGTTCTTTTTTAAGCGGACTTTATTATTTTCTAAAATAACAACACAGGTCAAATATATTTAAGCAGAAACTCACCAAAATATTGCACACTCATAAATACATTACAACCTGTATTTTTTCGAGGAGTTCGAAACCCTAAGATTACAAATAGGTTGTGACTTATGTAAGAGACAGTAATTTGATTATTTATTAATTGTATTTAATACTTACATTAACCAGGGTTATATGATTGAAATCATGATTTTCGAAAATTTATACTAGTAAAAAGATATTCGTATTTTTATAATGGAAATGGACATCACTTAAGACAAGCTGTTTTTGACGAACAGTTTTTTTTTGTTTCCAAAAAAAATATGTAGGTAATAACAAACCATCCTAATCTACACATAATTTACTTTTTTTGGCGGTATTTCCAGCACTATTAGACCTTCATTCTACCTAAATAAAAATGTTTTTCGCAAGTAAAACTGACGCAATGATTGCATAATCTAATAAAAATCATGATTTTTACAACCCTGACACAAACAGATATTATCAAGATAGTAATAGTAGCATATTATGTGACAACAAAATTTAATTTTATCAATGATTGTATAAAATTAGGACAATTATTTTTTATAATTTATTGATATCTCAGTAGGTAATTGATGAAATGATAGGCATAAGTAGGTTTAAATTGCCACTGTCCACATTACTTAATAAGAAAATGGAATATATTTAAACTAGGCAATTATTTACTTTCGAGTAACTTAAATTAGTGTTTCAAAAATGTAGTATTGAACTTTGTGTCATATTTATTTACTTATTTAATTATTGAAGAAGCCTATTAACACCAATATTTAATTGGAAATAAAACCTTTGACTTAATTGATAAACTACCCCATGGTTGGGTAGAGGCCTAAGCCCCGCAGTAGGACGTATGTATAATAGGCTTTATTCATATTAAAGATTGTACATCAATAACAATTGTATCAAACACTTCAAATACTTTCCTAAAAAACAACAACATCTTCTTACATTATACCCCTACTTTCATAATTTGGTAGGTACAGATGGCGATAAAAGTAGAGGCAGAGACATATTAACACTTAACAGATAAAAGCAAATGTACAAATGGTGTGCATAACAATACCAAGTACAGGTACTGTTATCAGTTGATCATGGATTCGCAAGAGATACAAGTATTGCTTTGTAGAAAGCCAGTAGTTACCAAGACCAATAGCTGTGCCATCTAATTCTCGCCTGCTGATTCGCATAGCGGATTAGCGGGTTTAAATTCCACCAGGGACAAACATTACTTAGGGTATACCTACTTATAGCAAGATTAATACACATTTGTAACACAGCTAAATTTCGCCAAAATAATTAATATGCTTTGCAAGTGCACATCTTCTGGCTTTGATACCTCAGGATCTTACTTTTGTACCAAACCACTGCACCTATCCAAATTTCCTTACCACATGCTAACATTATACTAAACATTGGCATAAATGATACGGAGGTCCGTGTCCTTTATTTGGCACATATAATATCTATATACAAACACAGTAAATAACATTTTGTAGATACTTACTGCAAAAAAAATTACTGTATAGAGTAAAAAATAAATAAAATGATATTTACCGTATGTATTACTAAAATTGACATATTTTTTTGGTCTCTCCGAAGGTTTACGATATGAACATTTTGGAAAGTGAAGAAAATATGAATTAAAGTATTCGCTTACAGCAGGTTTTGCAGAAAAAATTACAAAGTTTTAGTAAAAAGTGTTTACCATAGCTATGTGTTATTATTTCAGCAAGTTACGCTTATTTAACTACTTGGTTAGAGTTAGAATACTTTTTTCAATAGTATTTAATACCTTCATTTTTATATTTCTCTTTAATCATGTCAATTTTAATAACTATTGTCAAACTAGTGTACTATCAAGTACTGTAAAATAATTTTATTGATAAAATAAACAAGTTTTTTTAATGAATAATAGGAGAGTAGAGGGCAACTTCAAACAGGGCCAGATAAAAGAGTATTGTGAAATTAGAATTCACATGATTTGGTGAGAAACTGCTTTGTAAATTGAAATAAAAAAATATATTTGCAATAGTATTTCATTCAAGTTATGTTTTATATGAAATAAAAAAAATTGCATTCATAATAGGTCAATTTAAAAAAAAATAATACTCATTGCTAAGTCAGCAGCAATTGTTGAAAAACTTGTACCATAATTTCAAGTGATCCTGACATTAATTTATCACTAGTTTTTATTGTTTTATTAGTAATAGGCCCTTTTATTTCAGCATCCCAAAAATAACTTGCCCTTCCACCACTCCTATATCTGTTGTTGTTATTTGTATCCATACCCCCAGTAACATGCCATTACCTATGATTAACAGTCATGTCGTTGAGATTTATTCATCAGCAATGACCAAACATGATAAAACATAAAAACACTTCTTTTTCTAAATTCATTAGTTAATATCAACAATTTGGTCACACTTCTATGCGTCTGTTAATTCAGACTAGTAACAAAACTTATTTATGTAGGAACACAAAATCACAAAACTTACAATGAGTCTGTCACTGATCAGAAGTGGCTGTAGTCCTGCAATCCACTGTGCCGTTTTAAGTGGTCACTATTATCACTATCCGGATTTTTTCTTTTACGTGAATCGAACCTCACTCCAGTTTCTTGAACAACCTTTTCACTATTTTTGATAGCAGAAATTATGTTTTCTTTTGAAGGTGGCAGTAATTTTAATTCATCAGCGCTATCACCACCTGATGGCTCAACCAGATGCATTACAATTCTCTCCAACCGTTTGGGATGCTCTACAGGAGCTTCATCTATAAAGTCTACATTCTCTGGTTCTTGCTTAGCCATGTCCACAATGACAGAATATTTGCGTTTCATTTCATCCATCATTTGCCGACCATAATCTTCTCCAACAACACTGTTGACGCACACAAAGCTTTGAACTTTCTTTGAATCTTTGTCTATTTCCAAGAATCCACGTGTTCTCATATAAATAAAATGACCAGATCGAGACATCAGCCTGTAATAAGACTCACCAAATTCCCTGCTTTGGTCATACATTTGTCTCAAAACACATATTACCCACCTTACGTCATCTTTGTGCATAAATACAAATGCAGATGTGCCAGTGACTTCTTCTGTCATGTACCCTAAAGCCAAAGATATACTTTGATCGCATTGTACAATTCGTCCATCAACTAAATGTCTCGTCCAATACTCTGAATAAGCAGTTGGAGGTAAAATCTGAGTTGGCAAGGAGTTTGATAAAACTTTTATCATGCCAATAAAAACAAAATCATTGCCACTAGATGAAAAAGTACGAATTCTTCTCACACGCTGCCTTCTGATAATTTGTTGATCCTGAACTCCATTTGCTGTAGCATGGTCAGAGCGCCTTAACACACCATCTATACGACAATGCTCATAACGAGGTGGATCGGCTTTTGCCCCAGCCCGCGTTATCCGAATATGAAAATTTTTATGCTGCTCAAAAAGTCTCGGTTCACAGCCACTGCGTAGTTCTGGAGGGTAAATATGTTGTCGTAGAATATTTTGGTCATCATTATGGACATAATTGTAGAAATCTTGTCCCAAGAGATCAACATGACAGTAACCTAACTTTTCTTGCACATTTGGAGATATAAGGAATATTCTTCCACGGCAAGTAACAGAAAACAATATACTGCCGAACAGATCAAAAAACCTGACGAAAGATGAGGACCATGTCTCAATGTGGCCGCATTTAATAGTATCTCCAAATACATGCTCATTGCGTAGCTTATTTGCGGCGAGTCTTAGCACGCTTGTTTTGTCTACTTTTCGGGGAGCATGAACAATATCTGATAACAGTGCAGTTAATTGTGTTATATGAGAATTATATTGACTTCTCCGTTGTTTCTCTGCAATAATCCTCGATTCTCGATCACTGGCTTTGGCTGATGGCATTTCAGGAGAATGGGATTCTGATGAAGAATCGCTGCAGCTAGCTGTGTGCAGTGGATATCCAACAGGCATGGCTTGCGGTGGAGGCACTGCAACAGCCATACCGAAATTTGCAGGTTGGTTTCCGCTTCCCAGCTGAGCTGTAGACATAGCGGCGTGTTTGTTGATATTTGGTCCACTCAAAGACGTCATATCGACTTTGACAACTATATTGCACTGATTGTGTCCCTAATAATCATCACTGATAAAACGCACACATAGTTTTAAATTAAAATAGCTGTAATTATATTTTCAATTGCTTTATGTTATCTATTAATAATTAGGATACCACTCTAAAACAAAAATCTATTTATTCCGCGCAACATGCGGACGACAACTCGGTTACTCAAACCACAGACAACTAAATTTTTTGAGCCTTTTCATTCGTACCGCTCACAGATACCGCTCGTTGACAAGTTATTTCATTCAACCATACATTCTTCGTTCATTCACCCGTTCAACTGCTGTCATTTTTGACATAAAATACCATTGATCATATAAGTCGTAGATTGAGCAATACCGATATAAAATACCGTTACTATTATACAGGGTGACTGGAACTGAACCCGCCATAGCTAATACGCGTATAGAGGAGGTCATTTGCTAATTATTGAACCTTACTTTCTATGATTAATGCCCGTTTTCACCATCAATCCCTAATTTTTAAGTGACCCCTATGGTAACACATAGCAGGAATTTTGTTTTCATAGGGGTCACTTAAAAATTAAGGATTGATGGTGTAAACGAGCATAAGTTTCATAGTTTAGGAGATATGTCAATTTTCACACTTTTTCCAAAATTTGACCTAAAAACTGCTTAATTTTTTTTCTCGCACGATTTTAACCGATTTTTTTATTTGATACTAATATCGAATAAACCTTTAGTCAAATAAAATAAATTTCAGATCCAGATAATGATTGAATAACTAGTTACCAGCCGCCAAAGTTTAACAAAAGTACAAACCACGATAAAAAATTCAAGTTCGAATTCGATTTATAAAAAAACTAATGGTGATAATGGATTGCCAATGATCTTAAAAATATCTTTACCTTCTCTTCTTTCCAATGATATATCACACGTAGTAATTAGATATTGAAATTTATTAAAAATTCAAAGTTTTTGGAAGAAAATGGAGTAATAATACGAAAATTATCCATACAAAGTTTCTTCAAACATCTCATATTTTCTGCTATACTCCTTTTCATTACTATTTTTGTGTGTTTTTTGAAAAATTAATTTAAAATAATAATCACAGTATGAAGAAAAGATTAAAAAAAAATTCAAAATCAACTTTGTATGGATAATTTTTGTATTATTACTCCATTTTCTTCCATAAACTTTGAATTTTTGANCATGGCGGTTGTTTACTATTTTGTTTAATAAGCAGTTAATTTCGTTTGAGATTGTTTACAGGAAATAATCATTGTTTTATCACAAGAATTGGTGCAAAATTTTGTAGTGCGTGGTTGCGGTAGTACGTGGTGTCCTGGAAGTGACATAAGATTCCACGCGTATAAGTGTTTATTTCGTGATTTCCGACATTGGATCATTGTAAACATTTTTCACATTTTTTACAGTAATTTCTTCCTAAAACGTTTTACCAGTAATTACACTTATCATTTTTAATGATACCTATGTCAAGAAATAAAGATTTTACATTGGTTTCATTAGATAGTGATACTTAGTTTGTGCTTCAAGTAGGTATACGGAGTGTGGCCTCCATTTTTATCTGTAGCTTCATGATTCAACCATACATTCTTCGTTCATTCACCCGTTCAACTGCTGTCATTTTTGACATAAAATACCATTGACCATATAAGTTGTAGATTGAGCAATACCGATATAAAATACCGTTACTATTATATAGAAAAATAAGTAAAATCTACAATATTATACAAAAATACTATATTTTCAAACATTTCGTCCCTTAGCTAACAACACCGCTTAAGTCGATTTTTGGCGGTTTTGACATTTTAATGCCATTGGATAGATCTTCTCATCGCGCGTCTAACCATTGGTCACATGTTATAGATTTCAGCCAATAAGAAGCCGTAATTTGAATTTTAGTGACACCGCGCAAGTCGGTTTACCTCGCAACACCGCTCAAGTCGTTAGTCTGCCATACATTTCTCGTAAAGTTCCTTCGCGTTCCATAATTTTTATAATTTTAAGTGAGTTTTATCGCGAAAAGGTCTATGAAAGAAGTTTTAATAGAAGATTAAGAGGTAAGCTAAGTATATATACTTTTATAGCCTGACCAGGAACATAAAAACCCTCGCCATGTTGCGGAAAACTAATGGTACTAATTTCTTTTAATGGCAACAGTAACTGAAAACTTCATTGACATGTCACCTTGCATGTCAGTCTATTGCTGTCAAAGTGTAAACAAACTTTATTTTAAATGTGCGCAATTGNCATGTCAAATCACTTTACTCAGATAGATAACATTGTATCTCATTTGATTATTTTGTAACTCGATAGATGCCTATCTACTATTAATCTTACAACTACATTTAACGAATTTCCACTTATTTAAAAGTAGGGTAATTGCGCCGGTTTTCCGTCCAGCTCCTGTTTTCGTCCATTTGACCGACTTGCCACAAACAAATACGGAAAATTAGAATACAAACCTAACTTTCCGTGAAAGTTTGGACTTGTTACATTCTATAATATCTAAGTAACAGTTCTGTCCGCATGAAAATGTAATTTGACAAGTAATAACTCCAAAAAAATCTACGGAAGTTGCTGCTGCACACAGGTGAATGGAAAACGTCCTCAAGTTAGAAAAAAAACGTGCCGGTAGGGAACTTTCATGGTATGTTTAATTACTGTTTTAGCTACTTTACGTAATGTTTTTGGCACGTATGTCTAATTATTAGCATAATAAACACTATTTTAAGGGTTTATTAAAGTTTTTGTANGTAATTCTGAATCCTGATACCTACATAAAGTTAGCCTATTAATTTAACACAGGTACGACTGTACTCAGTGTTGCACTATCAAATGCAATTGACGCGCCTCTATGCCAGGGTTTTTATGTTCCTGGTCAGGCTATAATAATGTATTTTTTAATGATTTACGCGTATTAATATATAAGGAAATGATGATAGAAAATATCTTCATTTACTTAAGCGGTGTTTACAATTTTTTTTTCAAACTTAGGCGGTGTTTCATACTGAATTTTAATTCTTTTAGGAAGCTATACAAGTAAAATACACTATTGATGGAGAAGGAATTGATTCTTGAAGTATTCCGAGTTCAGGTGATGAATTTTTATGTGCACAATTACAAGAAGCAGGACATAAACGGTGTAAAAAAACTGCCCAGGTTTCAATCGAATCGAAGACTTTCTCATAATCCACAAACGCCAGGCCAAGTGGCTGATTATACTCCTCGGTCTTCTGTATAATCTGCCGCAGCGTATGTATGTGATCTAAGACACTAAAGCCTGTCAGCCAGCCTGGAAACCAGCTTGATCAGGTGGCTGGAAGGCGTCGAGTCGGCGAGCTAGACGTTTCATAAGTACTCGAAAACAGCTTGTAGACATGGTTCAGAAGTTAGATGTTTTTTAAAGAAGAGTATCACCACACTTCTGTGCCGTGCCGTAGGAGTTTTTCCCTCGAGGATGACGGAATAGAACAGCTTCCAAAGAGCCTTTAGCATCGACATTTCACCTGCTTTGCCGTTCAAAAGCTGAGCCGTAATTCTATCATCACCCGGGGCCTTGTTGTTTATCAGCTGTTCCAGAGCTATTCCAAGCTCGTGTAAACTGGCGTTCGGGATATCTTAGGTATTGTGTCGGGTCATTCTAGCTCTTGGGTCTTCGGCTAGATTTGTAACAGGTGTGAACACAGTCGTGTATAATTGTCCGTAGAACTTCTTAACCTCTTTCAATATCTCAGGCCCCGACGCTATTCTCGGTCTTCAGCTTGGTCAGTTGGCTTTGGCCAACAGACAGACTGATCTCTTACGAACACCTTAGAGCCCTAGTTATGCTCAATCGTCTGTATTACGAGTATATTCGTAGGTCGCGAGTCAAAAGACTTAGAGATCTACTTATCTGTTAAGATGCCGATACTGAGTAGCATCTTCAGATGACTGCAGATCCATGTTTCGTCTCTCTTCTATAAGGTTGTTGATGAGATCAGAGATCTTTTTTGTTTCTCTTAAACGACGAGTTTTAAAAACCTTAGACCCAGTCATTTGGACAATTCCCAAGAACCTGCCATTGTACTCTTCCACATTTTTGCAATGTCCTGGCATTGGGAACGATTTTGCAACTCGAGTAAAGCTTTCGGGGTTGGATGACGCTGGGAGGAGTGTAGACTTTATCAGTCGACATCTATCGAGATTCAGACTTATATTTAAAATGTGCCTCTTACCATTTGGTGATTGGTTCCTGTTTTGACCAAATTGACCATGCTTCTACGTCAACAAGATGAAGTTGATCTCATATTTCATAGCGTCATTGGGATGCAGCGAAATCTACTTTCGCTGTTTTGGCTTTCTGAAGAAGGAGTTCATCATCCCTCTCCATAAAGCCAGCCAGCAGTTAGCCACGTGCGTTCCTCTCTCCGTATCCAAATTGCCCCATTTCCAGCTCATTGTCGTTTCGTTTGCCCAGATTTGCGTTGAAGGCCCCCCCATCACAATATTTGATCTACACATTGTGCTTCTTAAGATTTAGGTTAAAGATAAATAGGTTATAATGATTGTTTAATTATATTTTAAATAATTCTTAATAAAAATTTTCTTTGTAAATCATCTATTAATACCTTATTCCTTTACATTTCGGTAAACAACACCGCCTAACTCTACAAAAATATCAGTCAACACCGCTCAAGTCATAAAATATAGGTCAAAATAAAGTAAATCGTCAAATTAAATATAAATAATTATTTCTTAACTGCTAAATAAAGTATTTAATAAGTAACAATAGGAAAAATCCACCGATTTTTTAAAATAAACAGTTTTTTTCGTCTCCTGAAAAGTTGCTGAAAATGACTTACGCGGTGTTGTTAGCTAAGGGACGATTTTTAAGCGGCAGATGGCGTTGAGTCAACGCGGGACGTTGCAATGTTGGAAACAAATTATCTGCTGGAAGAATAAACCACGCCACGGTATGGATGTTGTAAATGTGGTCCTATTACCTTTTTTTACGTCGGGAAATGCTTTGCGCATACCCACTGGTCGATGGGGACGGCCATTAGGTTATGTGGGACTCTCCCCGCCTACCCACTAAAGGCGGGGCTTACCCACTAAAATCCGACGGTTTCCACCAGAGCCCAAAGAAACGGAGCCGCGAGTTATTGTCCTAGTTGGGCATTCGTCCGCAGCTCAGCCTCTCTGGCTTTGAGGGAACCCCCAATCCCCTCTTCCGTTTGTTTTTATAGAGGTTTTCTTCTCGCGGCCCTGGACCCTGGTACAACAGAACCCCGGCCCGCCGTAGCGGGTTCCGGTCTGCTCCATGCCGCTGCTCAGTCAGCTCTGCTGACCAGAGAAATACCGAGAGCGGCCCTCTAAAGAATGGGCCCGGGCAAACGCCCCGCCAGCCCCCACCTGTGGGGGTTTTTAAAGATGTCCCCTGCATCGTGGCCCGGGCAAATGCCTCGATGGGGCCTGGCCCACTCAATTGTGGGTTACGGGTTGCCCGACAGGCACGCCGCGAGTTGATAAGACCTGCCGCGCAGGTGAAAAGTTAGCCGCCCGCGTGAATAGACGACGCGGAGGTTGCCCAGGGTGCACCACGAGAAGGTCCCTCACCATCGCACCCCGTGGTAATTTTAACTATAATTATATTATATATTATTATAGTTTAATACTAGCTTACCTTATAGTAGTTAATACCTTTTATCCATTTGGTAGCATACAATGTAGAAGATCATAGGTATTAAGTAAGTAGTTAAGTATTTTTTAGATTAAAGTGATAGAGATTTAATTTTGTTAGCTAGCAGAATTCGGCTCAATTCAATGTCAATCCTCACACTACAGAATTCTGATTAATCTGGATTTTGGTGGTCCCTCTCTCCCAGGATCAACAAAGCCTCAAAAGGCTTTGGCGGGCTAGGGGATGGTGATTGAGAGCAGTAGTGTAAACTATATACATAGTTAATACTCTGGTCATGAAACACATGACTGAACTACATATTTCGTTAATCAGGAGAGTCCTCGTCTTATTCAAAGTTCGAATTTCAACTGAATCGAGTTTACTTAAAAGTACACTTTATAATTAAGTACCCCCCATACCCCTAAGGCCTATGATTTTTATTTTATTCAATAAACTCATTACAATTATTTTAGAACAAATTAATTTATCTACTTTAACGCTACTTCCCTACGCTCAATCACTGAGAAAGTTAGGAGGTGACTTACTTCTACGAGTTTGGTTAGGATGATTATATAGCAATCAAATACATATTTGATTAGAGCTTAAGTACCTATTACGTTATAATTGTTTATAAAATTAAAGAGCAATATAAACTGCTTACTTACTTATTCATCCTAATTTTAATGTTTCTTAGAAACATACAGCCACATGCAATAGTTTTGATTTATTAAATTAACGAAGGCAAGTAGGTACTAACTACCCACGTAAGTATATCTACCTATTGAACAATGTTCTGTCTAGTGACATTAAATTGTTTACAACATTAAATAATAATGCATGGACGAGCAGTATGTAAACCGGTTCGAATCATCAGCGTCTGACTTGAACTTATCAGAATTATTTTTGTTAGGACGGCCGAAGAGGAAAACACGCTCAATTTACATTTTAGTCATATTCGTGTCGTTGACGTTGAGACTTCGTCCGGTCGAGTGTCGACGCAGGTCACCGTTTAATAATGTGCTGTAAACAATTCCTTGTGATAAGTTTTGCTATTATTTTAAAAAATATTGCAGCACAAGATGGTGAGGCACGGTCTTTATTACTTTATCATAAATTTTAAAGTGGATTACCTACTTATTCAACACTTTTTTCTAGTTGGTGATGAATGTGTTCCAAATAACGAAGTTTTTGATGGTGTGTGCACAGTAATAACTGAATGTGAGGTGGCTCTAAGGTAAAGTAATCAATCTCTCATCTCATCACATCTACCGGTTAATCTCGGACAGGCGGGAAGTTTAAATCACTTTACTATACCTACGTTATTTTTGCAAACTTAGAAAATTATACGTAAGGACATTACCTATTTCGTTATCTCCCAGTGTAACAACACAATATTAATATCATTTTCATATTAGGTCAAATTAAAACATAAATTTTAAGAACCTTTGTTTATTGCAGAGCTATACAGAAGCGAAACTTCCATAACTACCAAAGATGTGGTTTTAGTGGTAGCAATGAAGTCGTTTGCTGTCCACGTACAACCGAAAAATTCGGTAAGTACTAGTATAGTTTAAGTAGGTACCTATTGTATAGTAACTACCTACTCGTACTACCTATTGTTAATTTTATATAAAAATAATGCTTACTTAGATTAGATGTGGCCTTTACAAATCATAAACGCCCCTCATTTTGACGATCATTTTGATTTTACTAATGTCATTACAAATGACGCAAGAAATGCAATGCAAATGACTCGGTTTATTAATGATCTCCTTTGGATATGGGTTTTTTCCTAACTTTAAAAAAGAAGACGACGCTCTTTTTCTTTACCTATCTGTTGTTAGCCTGAAAGAAATCTCCGATAAGGCGATCGAGAATATTTTGTGCCTACACTACTTGTCCTAAAGGTTGACTGGAAGAGAACGTCCTAAGGCGTTAATTTCGCCCTATGTACCTGATGTTGTTTGAAATAAAGTTATCTAAAAGACTTCTATGCCACCAAGATAAGGAACCTACCTACTGAATTATTAGTAACATCTATCAGAATGTTATCCTTGTAACTTGTAGGTTTAAGTTTTCATTAGGTACCTAGGTACCTACATTTAAGAGTACATTCGAAATGATTATTTCCCCAATACATACTACCTACCATACCACTAAACCCAAAACCATGAAGTTTACTTAAGTCATAATACTTAAGCAATTACAAGTAGGTACAACCATTTTGCACATCACAAGCATCCTCAACTTATCTACATACCTTGCTAGAGCTGACGTAGTCAATATACGATCGAGTAACTTGATAAAATTAAACATTAAGAAAGATTACGTCTTGGACCTATTTTTTTGGTTCCAGTGAAACGTAAGTCTATTACGCACTAACATGTTTGGGTAATTCAAATGTAAGTACCTAATGTAGATGTTTGTTTAATCCACTTTTTCAGGTGCTACAAATGACAATAGAGGGGGAAATAATAGTCAGCGGAAAGCAGAAAGAGGTAAATTAAACACATAAAATCTAGGTATATTTTTCTACGTGCACTGTATAAAAGTAAGTTGTATCATTTTACAGAATGTAAGAAAATCATCGAGACCAGTAGACCACCACTGGATCTTCATATAATTGGTGGGGAAAAAGCCACGCTGGGTGAATTTCCTCATATGGTAAGATATTAATTTCTATTAAGATGACATGACATACTCACTACGTGATATATGAAGTCAGGTTTGTACCTACTAATTTTCCTCGTAACTATATTGGTTATTATTAATAAATAAGGAAAATAATTGTTCCTTATAAGGAAAACAAAAATCACAAGCCACTTCAAAAGTGGATATATTTATTGGAACATAATAGAAAACATTAGGGAAGAAAATAGGAATATCAATATGATAAACTTAGTAAGTAGTAGGTACCTAACTGAGAAAGTTTATCACCCAACACTGTGAAAAAGATCCGGCTGTAGGAAGAAGAAAGACATTTTTTCCGCCACTCTATTCACTGTAAATAGGATACACTTGCCAAATATTATGTAGGCACCTACTTACTTTAAAACTTCTGGCAGGGGAGAGCAACTGCCACAGGGAAATCTCGCAGAATATGAACTAGCTTAGAAGCGCTACAGTCGATTTGATTGAAGGAGATATTTAAGTCAATAACACTCTCAAACTCTATAACATAACATAAAGGTCTTCATTTCAGGTGGCAATTGGATACGACAGAGGAAATGGTTACCAGTTTGACTGCGGTGGCGCCTTGATATCGGATACTTACGTTCTAACTGCTGCACATTGTATTATCAACTTAGAACGGTGGGTACATAATATTTTCGTAATTTGGATTAAAAATTGGTTTCAGTAAGTATAGTCCTTGTTGAAGTGAAATACCTACGTAAGTGGAGTAAGTACTCCAAACCTCCATAGAACATTTCACTGAAATGACACATTTTGTTAGCTACTTTCACCAAATTACCTTACTTGTTTACGCTTACTTAATTAAGAAAATGAAAATACCATTTTTTTTACTTTGCTCCCTAATATAAATAATCAATCAATCAATCTGTTAATACGATGTTTAATTAATAAATCGCTCAACCTAAGCTAATGATAAAAATAAAACATTAGGGGAGCAACAAACGATATAGGCCTATATAGTTTACTGCTTTTATTATCAGCTAGTTAAAACTAACTAATAAAACTAACTAATAATTTTTTAACACCTTTAATATGTAATTTACCTATGTTCCACGAATAAACGAATTTTGATTTTAATTTGCTTTATATTTCAGAGTGGAACCGCAAATGATACGAGCTGGAGTGATCGTGCTAGGCGACAACACTTGGAATGAAAATTCCGACTACAGGGTAGCACGGAGCATCACGCATCCTAACTACACGCATAGCTCAAAGTACCACGACATAGCGTTGTTAAGGTTTGTAATCAACAATTTTTTTACAGTCACTAAAACCATAGTAATAAGTAAAACCTATGTTTAACTGCAACTTTTTCCATGGCACAAACTTTGCTAATTAGCTACAAGTTGGTAATTTGCGTGATTGGAACAATTTTATTTTCTCAAAAGTTACTTTTGGGTACCCTACAATTAAATATTTATTGTAATCAAAGCTACCTTACCTTAACCGGTATTTACTGTGGTCTTAAAATCGTGTTTCAGATTAGCAAATCCTGTGGAAGTATCAGAAAACCTTCACGCTGCTTGTTTGTACACCAGCGCGTCCGATCCTCTCGGCCCACTCACGATAACGGGGTGGGGTCGGATTAGCACTACACGTAAGAAACATTAATTTATACCTACTATTGACTCGTGTTAACTGTAGGCACCTAATCGTAGATCGATCTCAATTTAATACAAAATACCATAGGATTCATTATTGGTTCTTCTAACTCAACGTTTGTTAGACCTTTTAAAGAGAAGGATTTGTAGATTTTGAGAATGAAACCAATTATTCAACAATCATTTTTCAAATTAAAGTGGACCGTAACTAATGACTATTATTATGTCTTTTCAGAAAGTCTAACAAGTAACGTGCTCCTGAAGACAAAAGTGAACCCAGTCACTCGGGAACGCTGCACCCCGGAATACCCAGGGTGGCGCAAGCTACCGAACGGGATTATCGAGGGCCAACTCTGTGCCGGCGATCCCCAGGGAGGACACGACGCCTGCCAGGTATAGATACCTAAACTATTTTGTGCAAGTGCTTAGAATCTGGCTTCGAGGGACCACCATCACCACCATTCCGCGCCGTTGTTTTTATAGAGATTTTCTCGACCCTGGTGAAACAGTACCGGCCCGGTATAGTTTCATCATCATGACCATCATTTCAGCCACAGGACGTCCACTGCTAAATAAAGGCCTCCTCCAATGACTTCCACATCGCACGGTTGGTAGCTGCCTGCATCTAGCGCCTGGAGCGCCTCCCTGCTACCTTTATCAGGTCGTAGGTCCACCTTGTGCGCCTTGTGGACGTCCCACTTTGCGTTTTCCGATGTGGTATAGGTTACGGTCTGCCAAATGCCGCTGCTTGGTCAGTTCTGCTGATCAAAGGAGTACCGAGAACGGCTCTCCAAAGAATGGGCCCCAGCAAAAATATCTCGCCAGCCCCGTGTACTACACAGGGGTTGTTAAAAAATGTCCTTATAGCATCGCGGCCCGGGCTAATGACCCGACGGTCTCCCCGGCACATTAATTTTAGGTTGCTCAACAGGCCCTCCGAGTTGACAAAACCTGCCGGGCCCTGCGTTTTTGCCCGCGCGGGTAAACCGTCCCCCCATGACTGGGGATTCGTCTATCGGCAATCCAGGGACGAGTCCGACTACAGACCCAAAATACTGCACACAGAAAACTCAATGGCCCTATATCGAATTAGTAACCGCCAAACTAACCTAGACTTTAATTGCAGGGTGATTCGGGAGGTCCGCTTCAAATCTCGGAGTCAGACGTGACTTACAGGCTCGTTGGTGTAACGTCGTTCGGCAAGGGTTGCGGCACCACCACACCGGGTGTCTACACGCGCGTCGCGCACTACATCGACTGGATAGAAAATATCGTCTGGCCCAACTAAACCTACTAAATTGATATTGTATAACTGTGCAATACTTAGATAAATAAATAATGCATCGATGGACGAAAGATTCCGTTTCTCCGTCGTTAATTAACGGCACCCAAAAGGTCCGCTCCATGTGCAAAGTTAAATTAAGCGTGTTAATGATTTAAGTTGGTAGTAAGTTTGGGTTCCTTTGTTAAAATATCTACTATAAATAGTACCTACTTTACTTTTATTATCTAATCAGACAAGTTTTTTTTCCGGGAAACGTTTAGTATGGAAAAATAAATAAATAAGGAATTCATTTAAGTTTAGTTAATATCAAAACAAGTATCATCCATTACTTACCATTAGGTGAGATACAGGCCAAGAGCTTCCCCGTAGCGGATAAAAAAACCTACCTAGGTACCTACTTAGATGAAGTAGCTAGGTATGGTATACCATGACAATAAAAGTAGGTCACGAATATGATAATGATGGTTAGTCATTAATTTATTGTTTGTACGATATTTTTTTTGCAAGAACAACTTAGAATGTTTGATTTTTAGACAGACTATGTACAACAGGTAGGTAGGCAGGTAATTAGTGACAGATCTTAATATGCATGGGCTTGTTGGCCAACATGACGTTTCCTAAATACCTATCTACCTACACCTACTTAATTTACAGAAGAAAATAGTACAACTGCATTTATGTAGGGTCTGGTTCCTGAAGATGAGCACACTCAAGAAATCCAAAAATCTCAATTCAGAAACCGGTCCTATGTCTCCTATTGTTCTCACATAAGAATGTAATAAAATTAAACAATAAAAAATCTACTGTGTTTTAATTTCATGTAAATATAAATGCACACTCAGCCACGTTCAGCGGAAATGGCGCGAGACGTGTGCGCACTGCGCATCGTCATCACTGATAACATGAACACAGAACATGAAGAGTCGTCGTAGTGTTGTAGATTAGAGTTACAAATTCGTGCTCTGTGGTTACAAATCAAAGATAGAGAAACAATTACATATTTTAGAATTTCGTCTGGTTATAATAATATTTTATACCATAGTTTGTTAATATTTTACTTAATAATCATTTAATAGTTTTCGAAGCGTTTAACCACAGTACCTATATCTACTGTGGTTTTACCGTTTGCATTGGTCATTTAGGTTTTTTTACCTCCCATCCTTTTTATCCCACCGAACTTCACGTGTACGTAGGTACGTTAATTTAATTAAATTTATCTAAATAATAGGTTAAGCTTACTTACGTGTACCAAACGTGCTACCTACCTACATAGTGTATCTAGTCCTAAAGACTTACCTACTTATACAGGGTGGAAACGATAAGTGATCTCACTCGATTATTTCTAAACTATACAAGATATCTAAAAACTGGTTGCTGATCCTGAAAGTGCTTCACGAGCTCTTTCAAACGGTATCAATAATATGTTACAGAATAAACTGGAACTATCCGAAAATTCAATGTTTCCAGCTTCCATACATTTGGTAAAGTTACATAATATTAAAAACTACACAAGATTTCGCAAAACTAGTTACTAATCCTAAAAGTGCTTCACGAGCTCTATCCAACGGTGTCAACAATAGCTTACAAAATAAATTGGATCTATCCAAAAATTCAATGTTTCCATCTTCCATACATTTAGTACTATCACAGTCATGGCACTCATCTCTTGATAATATTATAGCAAGTAAAACCTAATACCAATGTTTTCCACAAATAATTTTAAATAAGATGCAAGTTACGAGTTTATTTAACCGACTTTTCTAGTTTATTATTAAACAAAAAATAAATTACACTTCTAATATTGTGTGGATGGCATACATTTAGTATGGAAGCTAGAAACATTGAATTTTCGAAAAGTTCCAGTTTATTCTGTAACCTATTATTGGTACCGTTTGAAAGAGTTTGTAAAGTACTTTCAGGATCAGCAATCAGTTTTTCGATATCTTGTATAGTTTAGAAATAATCGAGTGAGATCACTTAACGTTTCCACCCTGTATAACTACGGTTACTATGTATCTTTTTTTTTTCTATTTATTAATTTAGGGACTTTTACATAGTAAAGTATGTCAGTCCCATCATAACCTAATCGTAAACTAAATAACCAAAAAATTAAAAATAACTAAACAATAAAAAGAACGAGTAGCTGTCACTGGAGAATCATGGAAACCATGTCGCAAATAAGTTTAGCAGCATCTGATGAAGGGTTGGCTAAAATGCTTTGAAATACTCCTACATCGAGCGTTTTAAGATTTAGTTGACTCACCAATGACAGCCGCTCTCTTTGGTTCTTGACACATTCCGTCAACAAGTGCTGTACATCATCCGTTTTATCACAACACCTATCACAGTTTGGAGAGGTGGATTTTTTCATTAAGTAAGCGAACTTGTTAGATGGAATATGACCAGAACGAGGTCTATGTNGTATAGCTCGATAAGTTATAATAGTTACGCCACCATATCCGTCATCCCTATCGTTTCTATGAAAGTTGTACTCACTAAGATGGACAGATGATTCAGCCTCCAGCCAGGTCTCGCTTAGGATAGCCACATGGATTTTTTCTTGCCTTAAAAGTGCACCAAAACTAACTAATTTAGGTCTAATAGATTGAGAGTTCTATTGTAGTATATTAATCATAGGAGCCTTAGGTCTTTTATCCATAATTTAAATGTTTAAAAATAATAAATCTTATGCCTCTCCCTTACTAACTAGATTAATTAAATACATCTTGATTTCTTCTATAACTACTTTCACAAACGAGCTTATTTTTTCTTCCATACTACAGTCGCTAATAAATATATCTTTTAGTTTCAAGATAAACTTTTTAAACTCAAACTTTAAAATAGTCTCTTGTTTAGTCTTCTTCACGTTCTCTTGTTTGTTCTGATCCGTTGTTCTGTTAGGCAAAATTAATGATGGAATTTGTTCTTCCTGATTCTTTTTCTTCTTATGTTTCTTTTTAGATTTTTCTGGTTCATTGCGTGGATTTAATGTGTCAGTATCTTCTTCAAATTCTTGTGTACTATTCGATTGAGACATATTATTATAATCTTCATGTATATCTACTTGCGTTGCTAGTACGCTGCTGTACGTCTTGCTTTTATTCATTTCAGTAGTAAGGTTTGAATTTATGTTTGAGACAACTGTCGTTCTTTTTTCTTCAGCTTGGTCATGAAGGTAGAAATGAAGAGCTTTTCTATATGTCATATGTTGTTCCCGCATTATCTTTCTTATAATTTTTTCTTTCAAAAATATAGGGCAATTTACTATGTATCTACAATTTAATTCTACCCTATGGTTTTGGTACAATGGCAGTCTTTTCTGTGTTCGATAATGATATAAATAAATAGTCCAGCTACCTAAGACTAAATACTAAATTCCAAATATTCAAAAAAGGACCTTTGCTTTGCTTTGAAAATCTGAGGCTGACCTGTTAAAATGTAAAATTATAACAGGTTTAAAACATAGGGATTACACTATATTAATTGCGCACAGTCTTGTTTTGTGAATTTAAATAATTGAACAGTAATTTGAAGTAAAAGTGGAAAAATTTCCCTGTTCGCCCGCACTATAAATATTTCACTGAACATCACAAAAATCCCCGACGATGACGCGCTCAAGTGTTGCTGCGTGCACAATAATAATTTCCCCTCATTTGGGGTAAAAAATGTATGCAAAGAAATGTCCACCTATATGTATAATACCTACCACAACAAAATGGAGCCACATTCTCAAATATTATATTGTAGTATAGTGCCAAATTAAGTAAGTATTGTAAACTTTTAAGATGGCTACGATCGCACCTGTTTGCTTCTGTTTGAGTTTATTTTTATAGGTAGCAGTAAAATATGAGGTCATGATGATGAGATAGCTACGTAGAAAATTTAGAAAAAAAAAACAGTTTAAACTTTGTTGTTAGTTACTTTACAATAATTTATGACATGAATGAGACAATATCAACATCTAATAAAAACATAAATCCTCTTATACTTACCTAATTTATACCTACTGAGGTTGGATTGCTATCAATGTTTATTAACAAAATGTTGTGAGAATAAAACATATTAAAACACAATTTGTATGTATCTCAAGATTTTGAAAAAAAAATTAGGTCCTTGGAAGTGCCTGCAAGCATCGCAGCCCGCAAGACATCTTTGGCCAACTGCATTTTAAGTGAAAAGCTGCTTAAAACTATTTATTATTATATTATCATAGCTACCTACACTAATGATGTAATGATGAAAAATTTTCAAAAGTTAGAATTATCGCAAAAATGGGCAAACATAAAATAGATGCTTGCAACCCTGGAGTGTCGCGATAGAATTAGAGCTTACAGCCTAATAACGTTTACAATGGAATCTCAACCTTAATGCAGAAGGAATAAATATCATTATTCATTATCAATAAAACATCATTCAATCATTCATTGTTCTAGTTCACTCGTGTACTTGGATTGACTCTGTTATATACTTCCCCCTGTTATTCCATCCATCCATCAGTTCATTCAGTTCATAACCACTACGCGTATGTGTCGTTCTTTAATAGTGCTTTAGAATTGAAAATTGCTGAGATCCTGTTACTTTTGGAAACGTGAGAAGGTAAGGAAAGGAGGAACCTTTAGTGCTACCAATTATTTATTTACTACATTATAAATCCTATTTAATATTACCATTATTTATTGACCGGCAATTGTTGAGTTCTCGTTATTTATATAGTACATACCTACCTATTACCGAGAGAGTACTGAGAATGGTTTAGCTTAGCAATAACAACTACTCACATTCACATAATATGTATATTTGCTTGCATTCGTCATCCGGCTGCAACCTTGCCTTATTTCACTTATTTGTAACAAAGTGCATTGTAATTAGGAAACCTCCTTTTTATTGTACAACAATATCACTTTAATACCTACCCTGCTGCTTATTAATTGACAAATACCTACGTAGATATGCCGAAATATTTTAATATCTATTTTAGTTAGCACATTAATCTAAGGTTAGCACAGACATAGTAGGTACCTAAATGTTGCGATGCGATTTGGTCTTTATGGATTTGGTACGTTTGTGTTAGTTGCCTTGCCTATGTGTTGGTACGCGGTAGGCATGGAAATGATTGCTAATTTGTTATTTTTCGTTCATTTTCATTTTATGAAATGATGATTTTTATTCATGTGATTTCACATGTGAATTTCACAGGCAATGATTTTTATTCGCAGTGTTAAAATGTAGCTCTTTCATAATATAATGTGCTACTTTTAATGAAGTATGAATTATGATGAACGATTGCTAATTAGCTACCTATATTAATGTGACAATATCTATTTGATTTATGACGCACAACAAAAACAAACAGTTCCACAGCACTGTATGTATGCAACAATCAATAACCGCGCGACTAGTGAAAAATATTTCATTTCATTGTAAACAAATAACGAGCACGCTTATCTAATGAAATCACAGTGAATCATGACAAGGAAATCTAAATCTTTCACCTTTGAGTTTAAAGTTCAAATTTAAAATGCTCAGTGTCGTCCGTCATCACATCTCTCGTCCTTTTCTAACACGCACATGAACAAATCATTCCTTCTCACTCGCTCGGTCGCTTGGCAGAGCTGCGCTCGCCGCTCACGAACTTCGCTCGAATGAATGAATGAAATTCATAATGATTCGTGATTTCGTTGACTGTGAAAAAATGGCAGTCTATGTGAC